TGAGTGGAAAGATGGTGGAAAAATCCGTTCCGGAATACTGCTTCAGTGAAATCGCAGGAAGACATCGGAACCTGGCGTTTCCGACCCGGACTGCTCGAACTGGGAAGTATAAAATTAAGAAAATTCATTCATTTGTTTATATAGATACCGTCGAACGATTGGTTCAACAAACAAGTATACAATTTAAAATAAGATTATTTTTTACTTAATTTAGAAATCGTCAAACAACTTTCTCAACAATAAGTCAATGAAAAATTAAAATAAATGATTCATTTATTTTATCTAGATGTCATCGTCGAACAATTGGCTCAAGAATAAGTAAGTAAAAAATTTATAATAAGATATTTTTTCTTTTACAGTGTAGAGTTCCCAGGCACCGGAATCAGTGAACAGTACATTTTCGACTGTAGTGTATATAATGGCATCCTTTTTACTGTTTCACAAACTATCAGCACTATTATCACCAAGGCCAAGCAACGACGACAAATTTTTTTATACACAACGCAATAACTGGTCTAGAGCTTTCGTTTTCCACAAATTATATGGTGTGAAAGATCGTGTGCATTTTACAACATAATTTTACTATTGAACCTGTATGTAGAGAACGAACCTTTGAAATTTCGTACAAATTACCGAACCTGAAAAATTCGATGGTGACCTGCTGAACTTTTTATGGTTCGGCAGACCAGCAAGAATCATCGAGGTTTCCTCTCACGAATGCAGACCCATTAATATACTTATTTGTTTTTAAGAGTGCTTCACGTTCAATCTGAAGTTTCTATGTTTGTCATTATTTTTACTGATTGCAAAAAAGGTGGCTGGATAAAAATCAAATATGAAATTCGCATGACTCGTGTAATGAAAAAAACGTCATGCGCTTGATGGCTTATCCTTCTTTTTTCTAGTTCTAGTGCAACCAAGATCTCTGAGTCCGTGTTGAACGCCAGTGGCAGTATTCGTGATAATATATGCAACAATAAAAATCATGCCAAGATATTTAACATAGTTGAAAATTTCAGAGTGTTTGTATCAGTTTTGTCTCTACCAATGCAGAGTCATACCCGCATCCTTTTTTCACTTTTGAGATGAGCCTCTAATTATTTTTGTCTACCGTCGATTGAGAATTATAGCTGTATCTTATATTGGACATCTAGAGAGTATTTTCTGCGAAAGTACCATACTGAAATCACATTGTCATATAATATTTGTGTTGCACTAGCTGATACACACGTGTACATGTGTTCCGAGAGCTGACACTGTTCGGCTATCTGCATGCCTCTTTGAGACGAAGCAAGATTTTTATAAACCATCGTCGCGTACGCAATCTGTGCAAATTAATTAACATAGCGATAGCGATGGCTTAGAAGCGAGTGAAAACGCTACTGAATATCTAACAAACTCATTGAGCGACCGAGTATTGGTTGAAATTGATTCCTAGTCCAACTGGGTATGTTGCGAAGCGGGCTGCTCAGTTCACTAATAAATTTATTGGATATTCAAAAGCATTTTCCACGCAATCTGGCTGAACTCCTTTTCCTTGCTTAAGGCTGAGCGATGACAAGAATTTCCTGATCACGTGTGTCTATAAGATGGAAAAAACAGTAGACCGCACCAACAATTCATAAATGAGTGTCGTCTTATTTTATCTGGAACAAGCTGCAACAACGAATATAATATATTGCTTCTACTTTCTAAAGAAAGCTTTTGCTGCTCACGCATCTGGATGATTCTGAATTACCAATTCAAAATAACAAAAAATAACGAAATGCAGGTGCAATGTGTAATTGAAAGTATACACAGAAAGGCAATTCTTTCGGAACTTACCCGTCCTTTCATTGTTGCTGTTGTTGTTGGATGAGGATGGCTAAAATAGAGAACATATGATAAGCATCGTAATCAATGTGTCATAAAGTGTCCATGACTGTCTTTTTATTGCAATGGGCCTGATACCGAATCAGTAATAGGTGCCTAGTACATCAACTAGAAAAAAATTCGCAAATGCATATGCTTATTCGATTCTAATAGAACAAATATGGACTTCTTCTAAAAGTTGATTGATACAAATCTCACAACATATCAAGATGATTCATGGTTTTTAATTTATAATACGCTTATTCTTCTGTCAAGATTAGAAGCTAAATAAAATTTCATCGATTTATATGTCTTCAGAAAGCTTTTGGAAGGCGAGTTTTCCAAACAGTCGTGCCTGAACAATATCATACCTAGCAGGTACGTCACATGAAATTTATATTTTCAACTGGGATTTATGTATATACAATTCTTTTACATGATGGTATATTTCTATTTCATGCAAATTTACTTTTTGGTTTACTGAGTTTGATAGTGAAATCTACATTTGTGCCAAGCGATGGGGTATATGATTTCAATCTGAATCCTGAACAAAATAATGATCCGTCATTTCAAAAAGAAACGAGGGACTAGGGGATCTTCGTAACTATTAACTTCGATGATTGAATCTATAACTTTTGAATTCTGAATTCATATATATCTATATTTGTTTTTGAACGGGGGGTCTAGAGGCTCTAGGGCGTCTTCGAAGACCCCCTAGACCCTCTTGAGGGTGTGGGTGTGGGGTATATATGTATTCATATGTCGCATATATAGGAAAGTTAAACTAAAATTAAATCTTTTCCTAGATTTAGTTTTAGTTTAACTTTTTCTTTTCACCATTTATATTCGAACTCGAATTAGACAGTTACTCGATTGCAAGCAATCTTGCTCTCGGTTCATATTTGAATCAATAGTATTTAAAAAATAACTACATCAGTTGTAGCAATGAACTATCCTGGTGACATGCTTGCATCTTACCAACAAACGTAGAGACCTGAGACGATCAATGATTCGTTGACAAGTAACAGTTTTTTCGTCGCACAGCATCAGCCAGATAAGAAAAATACATTTACCTAGCCAATATAACGGCAATGAGCGCGTAAAGGCATATCTGAAATATTCAGCCAAGCCCAATGATGCATAAATAATCCAGTATATCGACCATTTAGCTTTGCTAAATGTCTCCGGCATCTCAATGGCCAGCATTCTGAACAAAACAAAAGATTCATAGATGGTGTAAACTACAAGTATTTAGTTTGGATCGGAAGAAAAAGCTTCGCTTTTTTGTCTCCATAACTGTTTCAAAAATCACTTGATTGAAGTGGTTAGAGTACTGAAAAGATTGTGTTCGTATTATTGCTAAATTTCTTTTTAACAAATGATAATTTAAATGTTTTTCATCTGATTATACCATTCACTTCCTTTTTTTTATGCTGAAATGGCGTTTTTCGAACAGGATTTTAAGTTTTCCAAAGGTAGATGCACTATATTAATAGATGATCATCGGAAATGTCATACATATGTCTGGGGAAAATCGATGGTTGCGCTAAGGGAGGATCATTACTTGAAAAGATAGTGCAAGATCAAGCTTACGACGCGTATACAGGATAGAGGAATCCAATGAGATCGCAGACAAAATCATTGCCCCAACCGAAAGCCAAATAAATTATAAGGAAACCGAGCATACCTTAACAAACAAAATAATGAATAAACTGAAAAGAAGATGAAGATAGGATACTTAAAGCAATATTTTCGCGTTTGAGATTTGTCTTCCGTTCGAGGAAACTCCAACATGACTTCATTTGATTGTCATACAAGTATGACTTCAGTTTACTGTTTAACAGATGAATAACGTTATGTAGTATGGTCACCATTTTTTCACAATAGGACAGATCTACTAAAATTTTAGAAACCAATGACACAATCACAAGGGTGTGGGTGTGGGTATGATGCGTTACCAGGCCATGTCAACGCCTAGACACATTTATCAAACACAGTCACAATCATTACACTCAGATTTGTTATGAATACTTCGTTGCGAAGATTGGGTGAGGTATGCTATGCGACATGTAACATAGTGGTATATAGAGTATGAATGAGGGATTTCCTTTGCTTATCGATATCATTAGTCAAACTCAACTAGATTAAGAATGAAGAACGGCACTGGATATGTGAAAACCTTAATTGTTTCAAGCGGATGTTTGAGTACGAGATTATTCATATGTATGACAGTCCATGGCGACGAGTTCTGAAGAAGCAGAATACGCCATCAGTGGATCTATTTCCCTAGAGACTCGTTCGATGGAATTAATGCCGCGTACATATTCATTGTTACTCTGATTAATTTAAAGGAACGAGTGCACGATACAATCCAGACAGACAGGCGACTATTTAATCAAAACATGAGAAATAGCAAAGAGACAAAAGAAAAATGCTACCACGCATTGCCTGTAGAAGTATACCTGTACAACAATAGTTGATTATGCTGTTTTGTGCATCGCCTATTTAAGCCATCGTATTTTTCAAGGTTCCATGTGTTTGTTTTTCTTCGTTCTCCATTAATGTAAAGAAGAAAGCACATAAATAAATTTCATGACTGTACTGAAGCGAAAAGGAGACAAATACACAGACAAGCACGCTATGCATCAACATTTGAGTGGGAGATGTAGGTGCGTGTGCGCGTTTAAGGAGCCGGGTGGGTATGAATGCGAATATGTGTGTGCGGCTGGGTGTGGGTGTGGGTGTGGGTGTGGGTGGGTGTGATTACAGAGAAGGACCCAGATTCACATACCCATACGCATACCCACACCCAAATTTGAAATCTTTTCTCATCTCTTCACTCACAAAACAATTAGACTTTTCGAATTTGTTTCATAAATGATAAAACACTACAATCACAGTGTAACCGATCATTTTTGAAACTCCAATTTAGAAACAAATTTTCGCTTGCCAAAGGGTGATGATTAATTGTTTTCGTTCTTGTTATCGTTTATGTAAATGAATATGAGAATGATTCCATCATGCAACTTTCTCTTTCATTCTTTTATCTGCTTTCGTAGAGAGCGATCGGTTTTTGGCTCGTCTGCGTACATACTCTATTTTCTTCCTATCGCGCGAGTTCCTTCCGTGTTGTATGGAGGTGCGACTTTATGTCCTCAATTGATTCTCAATTAGCCGAAATTAATAGATCGAACAGTGACATTCGTACAGCTCAACTTAATACAAATGAATTATGCATGAATGAGCAACACCAGTTGGGCGAACAACATCAACAACATTATCCTCAGCCTGCAATGTATGAGGAGGACAACGATATTGAACAGCGAGAAGGTCTTCTTCGTTCATTAGAACAAAACCCCCACATGCTGCGAGATTTCTATCAATTTATCGAATTTACACGAGCTCGTAGTGTTCAACCATCAATTCAGCAGATATGCTATGGACAAAGTATTCAAGGTCAACAGCCAATTCCTTTTATTTTAAATATTAGGACAAATTTTCCATCATAATTCCTCAACTCCGAAATGTGGTCGACCTCTTAACGATAGTGGTGGTTCAATTAGTCCTGCAAGGAAACAATATAAATCAAGCAAAGGTATCCATATGCAAATGGAAGACTGCAATAGTTAATCAACAACAACGAAAAGCGCTTCCATTCGATTAGCTAAAACGAGCTGTATCCTCTAACCTTCCGTGTTCCTTCATCGAATTCGAACAATCTAGTATTTCACAGCGGGTTCCATCGGCTTTTGAAGCTAGAAATATTATAGAAAAGCATTTCAAAGAACAAGACCTAATATTCAACATTTTTCATTGATAGGATGATCAAGCAATCTTTTGGAGTTGGTAGTGAATAGCAAAGAGGATTACATGGTATTATTAACAACAAACATGTGGCCAACGAATATTAATAATATACCAATTAAAATCACTAAACCGAAATATATTCCTGACTGTTTCGCTCTAGTTGTTCGGTACGTACCACGTGATCTAGAACCTGAACTAGTACAACAAGAAATTCAACGTACAATTGCATCAGCCGATAATATAAAACAAATAGACTATTCATATGAACGGAAATCCAACGATTTTAGAGTCACCGTAACGGACTTAATAGAATATAATACAGCTCGTGAGCTTGGTCATATGTCGATTTGTAATCGTTGGCTTACTCTCACTCTCTTTCTAACGGGATATCGTATGACTTTTTGCACTAAGCGGTGGAAAATTGGTCATGTACGTGAACAATGTAAAGCTAGTTTACAACTCTGTCGAGTCTGTTTAGATGAAACATAAAAAAAACGAAGAACATAATTATAGTACAATACAAAAATGTGCACAATGTGGTGGTGAACACCACTCGCTGCATGGTCTATGACATGTAATACAACAACATCGGTCGGAGCTAAAAGAAGATGTAAACAAAGCCTTGGAATCTGGCAAATCACATCGAAATGATTATACAAAACAATGGCACGTCTTTAGTATGATAGATCAAGATTTTCCTCCACTGGGAGAATCGAAAAAACCTCGCCAAGCAATATGAAATCATATACAAACTGAAGTACGTACTGACGATTCACTCGGCTCAAAAGCACTCCTTCTTATAAATGAAGATCTGGTCGCTATGCGTGACAGTAATAGAAGAATAGAAGAAAAACTTGGAAAGATTGATATCAAATTGAATCAAACAGCTCTAGATACTGAACTACACCAAACTTCAATAGTCAAGTTGATAGAACATGTGTATCTACTCATTCATCATATTATCTGACCGATAACGAGTGTAATTAATCCGACGTTACTGAATTCTACATCAGATCTACAATCTGTCGTCGATAAATTGTCTGAATTAAAATCTAATTTATTCACGAATTATGAAATAAGACGTCAACGTGTTGTATCATCGACTATGCAAAATAAGTCACCATCAACAGTTGAAGAAATAATCACTGACAATATATTAAAAGTATATTACTTTCTTAGTTACTAATGTAGTACAAAGCGAAAACTGTTTATTCAGAATAGTCATGATATTTGAAAACGGCCTTCCCTAGTCGAACATCTTGTAAGCAAAATCTGGGAACCTTGGGATCGGTAAGTAAGACCTTATTAAGATCTTAAAAAGATAATTTGTATATACATATCTTGGTTGTATCAGATAAATATGTACTTAAGATCTTGGCAAGATCATGGAAAAAATATCGTGTACTATTATCTTCCGATACGATCTTGAGCGAAACAGAAAGCGACATCATTAGCGTATTTACATGCTATCTAGTCATTTACCGTTTTTTAAATGCATACACAGCTGTATATAAACAGCATGATTGAACACACGAAACACAAATTTTCAAATTTTTTTTTCTCAACTATTTCTCGATTATTCGAGAGAATGCTGATCTCGATCGATGATCGAGAGAGGACTTCCCTGATTGGTCCGACAGATATCGGACCAATTTATAGCCAGTCAGATTCTAACATCTGACTTGCTGGAATTCGGGAGAGGAATAATTAAAATGAAAATAAATTGAAAAAAGATTAAAGAATGCAGCAGGTATTATTTTAGTGTACATCCATGATTTAATGGATTCTTATGTAAGATCTATAATTAGATCTTGGGCGCAAGATAATACAGTTATCTTGTACCTGAATTTCCAAGATCTGTTAACATATCTGTACCTTGTATCTTGACCAAGATCTTGCTTACAAGATGTTTGTCTAGGGTTTGTATTAATTTTTATCTTTTGAGTTTCAAGTATGGATTCTATTCTACCCGTGTCATGAGTATCAGCTGATTAAGTGAAAGCATATTGGCTTTCTGTTTTTACTAATCAATCCAATTTCTAAGCGTTCATAATGAATAGTTATGAAAATGTAGATGTTAAATTTTCTTACTTAGTTGGGTTGGTTTTATTAAGCTTCTTTATTTTTCACAATTTTATTTAGTTGTAAATGTTTTATCGAAATGAAAAAAGTAAAAATCATATAAATACTATGTTTATTATTTTCGAAAACCATTATGGCAACGATATCAAATTTTTAAATGCTTGAAGACTTGAGACTAGGTCAAGCATTTTCACTTTACTTGAAAAGTTAACGCTTAAGTACCATTCTTGCGTCTAACCTGCACATTTTCCTTGCTGAATAATAATGTAGTGAAAGCGATATTTCACGTTGTTGATGCAGCCAATAATATTGGCACATGCCATTTTTTGCAAGCTATCACCCTGTATTATTTACCAAACGAGAACAAAATGATCGTACTATACAAGCATTGATGTTTGTATTACGGTCTTGTACACTAAAATCAGTTAGATTGCTGTAAAAACATCATGGATTAATTAAGGAGCGGTTCAGCATCAGTAAAACTATGTGACTAGAGAGAGTAGTGCTTTCTTTGTTGAATTTAACACCACAGACATTATCAGCGAAGTTGTCGCCTATGATTATATTGCCTAGGGAATGCCACTCATTTTGAGGATTCCTTGGTTTCATCTATGAAGGTTCAAGTAGTTAGTTAATGTATCGGCGTATGTCAATTCATTTCTCTACTATCTATGCAATATTTGGAAAACACATTAGAGGTTCAAGCCTTGATACTTGAAATCAAATTTAATCCAGTGACAACTTTTCTAGAATGCATTGTTTCCAATCCACAATAAAATTTCATTCTTTCAGAAAAGGGTCAGCTAATCCATCGGATGAGCGTTACTTGTTTGTTAAGAAAAATTAGTCGATGAAAAACAAACTTTAATTGATTGAAGATATTCTCTATTACGATTCAATTGTTTGTTTCTCTTAATTTAAATCTCAAACAAGAACTGAAAAAAAGCCTACTAATTTGTCTACTTAAATAAAACATAGAAAAATAAATTTAATTTAATCAAAATTATTTTTAACGATTGGATTTAGAAAAGTTGATGAAAAAAATCCGTTTATTAATAATGTCAATCATTTTTGAGTTTTAAAATCACCAAATAGAATTTCTCCAATATGAATAAAAATACTCAGAGTCCAATAAAAAAAATAATGAAAAAAATAAATTAAATGACAACCATCAAGGTAATGTCGTTTTTGCTCTACTTTTCTTTGCTAAAATAAAAAAAAACGGTATAGTTGTAAACAAAATGTTTGTCACCTAGATAAAAAGAGTACCCAGTAATAAAATATACGACTGTAAGCTATATCGTATTGAGCGCTATATTCTTTCCAATCGCAATTATGGAAGATTGATTACTCGATAATATGCAAAATTATTGACATGTTGAAAATTAACGATTGAAAGCCATCAGTTATGGCTTCTGCAGAATGGGATATATTTTCTTATTTCAATGTTTAGATGAGAAAAGATTGGCATGCATTTTCATTTATTTGACATCGATGGTCATTTTGTGTAATATGCGGAGGAAAAAATGAATATTGTTGCTTATCATCCTTCAGCCGCATAGTCACGCTTCATTGATCGTTTTCGCATAATATATTAAGTCGCTAGTATTCAATGATAAAATGAACATAAAGGAGACGTTATTTTGAAACGTTAGCCGCAGATCGCTTCTCAATCAATTATATAAGGTATGAATGGCAATATCTATTGGTATTGGTTAGTTCAGTAACGAATCTATATATTCTACATCCCATGGAAAAATATTCCTTATAATGAAGGTGAAAAAACGCATTTTCGAGAAAATTGAGCGTATTTTATCGACTACAACCGCGTTCAGACGCGTTTCTCAAAATTGTGAACGCAGTCAAACGCATATTTATTGGGAAGCAACGCGTTTTTATCATACTGAGCACGTTAATTGTGAAAGCGCCTTTTATCGCACGAATGCTTTCGACTTATATGCGTTTAAACTTGTCCGCGAGTAATTCATTCTTATAGTTAGAAAACCCGTTTGTCCGAAAACGCTTGAAAACGTATACTGAAGTACTTGTTCGGCAACTTTCAGAACGCATTTCTTTATGTAGTGAAAAAGTGCTCATTTCAACTTAATGGAATTCATTACTTGAAATAAATAGGAATACATGTAACAAAAGTGCTATGCTAATTAAGAAATATGTGTAGAAGTGAAAAAATTTCTTTCTGTTGCAATGCACTGACAGGTAGTGTCTTGTTAGGCAAAGTGATTATCTATCTAGAGTTTCGTAATGAATGATTTTCCTTTTTCCTAAACTAGTTTTTTTATCAAACAAATTCGCTAATCTCATGCTTTTTTAATGTACATTCGCCAATCGTATATTCTATCTTTTATTTGAAAAATAGTAGTCGGGAAAGTTTCAATTGATTTTAAACAATTTATAATGAATTTAACCTTTTAAAATAAAAAAAAATTATCTTTACTCAAATCGATCGTACTATGTAAATTCAATTTAAACTAATTTAATGATACTTGAACTCGATAAAAATCACAGTAAATGAATTTATATCGCATAAAAAATATTTAAGTCTAATTACATGAATTTTAATTGAATTTGAAAAGCTTTGTATTGAATTTTTATTAATCTAAGCTAGATTAGAAAACTTTTATTAAATGTCAAAAAATATTAAAAAGTTAAATTTTCAATGTTCTATTTTAAAAGAAATTAAAGTTCTTTAAATTTATTTTTGAATTTATTAATTTTTTTGTAAACGTAAATGGATCAGTCTTACGTATAAATCTCGTTGTCAGAATAAATTTTGTTTAATACAAATAGGAAATTTATCACTTCAGACATACGTAAGTATAGTTCATTCGGATATTCACTACTGCGACTCTACAAGTTTATGTGGTTGAATCCGCTCTACGGTAGTAAAAACAAACCGAATTGGAATGCGTTCAGTGCAAACGCAAGTATTTGAATAGAGAAACCAGCGGTCTGAGAATCTATACGAGTAGCAAAGAAACGCGTTCGAGACCATCACAGAGTTGAAAATACAATAAAAACGTCTGTTTTTCTTCTAAATAAGAACGTGTTCTTACCGCGAAAAACGTGTTCCTATGAATCGCTTTGTGAGAACGCTTTTAGCGCTCTTTTGAAATGCGATTTTCATTACACAAACGTGTCTGAAAAAGTCGAAAAAAACGTCTTCACAACGCAGTCCTTTATCTCGACAGCGCGTTACCATCTGTTCTTTTTTGAATTTCTTTCATGGGATTCCTATGTAGAAGAGATTCGGACGAGGTTGCTAATACAAAAAGAGTGTTCTCATATTTTATCTCAGTGAAATTACAATTTAAATAGTGCACCTGGCAGCTTTTAATGGGCTCTACAAAACCATATATTTCTATCAACAAATACAATGTGCTAGATCTACTATAATTTATACTATAATGCTTTGAGGAAAAACTACATGGCGTCTATTTGCTAATGTGATAATAGAGTTTATTGTCTGAATTGAAGTGAAAGACTATATTTTACTGCACTAATATAATTTTTTTAACTACTCGAGATATTAGCAGACAGTATGTGAACCACAGTACTAAAAGACTTTTCTCTTCTCATACGTAGACACACTATATTATTTTTCATTTTATCTTTCGAAGCGCATTCAACTTAATGTACGGTGCACGATCATTAACGAGACCCAGGCCGACAAGGTTTCGTGAACAAGCACAAAATGCACTGCTGAACAATTCTTATCCGCCTAATGCATTGCTACCAACAGAATATCGTATGCGGCCAATATCTCTACGTGAATATACGTGGCGACGCACATGGCCACATGCCCTGACAAATGGAATTGCTGTACTTATGTTAATACTTACTTTGTCTGTTGTTATTTTGGAGGTTGTTCATCTGTGCCTAACCACAGTTGCAGAACCTTTCAAACCGGTCGGAACAACAGCAGCTGGTTTCTGGTGTTCACTATTCTATGCTATTGCGGCACTGTTTATACTCATAGCAAGTGAGTTACTCAGATCTGTCCTCAATTTCTCAAATACAGAAAAATGATCGTATTCTCATTTTAGATCTAATGAAAAGAAATTCATTTGTATGGGTTACCATTGGATTTATCCTCACTCTTATATCACTTGCTTTCTGTGGTGTTCTGATTGGATTTGATGCCAAGACAGTTAGCAAATACAATTTTGCTTTAAGTCCAAAAATTAAATTTATAGGTGCTCAATTAGGGTTTGCTTGTGGTGTGGCATTGCTTGATATAATATTTCTTTTAATTTACTTTGCCACACTTTGCTTGACGGCAGCACGATGCAAAACGGCTGAGAAGACAATACCACCATATGTTCAACCGTATGGTTAAGATTATTATGTAGAAACAATCATCATTGACATTAAAAACTAAATTTTTATGATGAAGTATTTTTTTCTTGTGCTAATTCTGTTTAACTGAAAAATAAGATTAAATAAAAGATATTTATCTCATTTAACTAACTATTATCTTCATCTGTTAATGTTACACAGAAAAGTTAAAAAAGAACAACATCTCATGATATGAAGGAAAAAGAAACTTATGAAAACGACTCTGTTCAATGTAACAAAAAGAAATCTTTTTTTGAAAATGCATTCATAGAATATCTTTTTATAGATCATGATATATATGATCAGTGGTAGCAATTTGTAATAATTGACTTTTGTCAAAATAAAAAGCATTTAAGTAATGTTCTTACAAATAAAAATGAATTCAGAGTTGATTTGTTAACGCTTTTCATATTATTTTACTTAAAGATAAACACTCATCAAAACTTTCCATTAGAAATAAGGACAAAATAGAAAGTCAAGCAACTGACAAGCATAGGAAAGACCCCCTACTTTATCTAATTCTTGCAGATTATGATCATTATATTTCACCTGTTTTCTTTTTCATCTCAAATTATTGGTGAATAAGTGTAATAGAAAAATGTATATTCCTCTCATCTATATAGGCGTGAGAAAGTTATTGTTATTTTTTTTTGTTATTAATAACAATAGCAATAACTTTTTGATTAAAAAAACCAATGAAGCGTGAATGTGCGGTTGAAGGATGATAAGCAACAATATTCATTTTTTCCTCCGCATATTACACAAAATGACCGTCGATGTCAAATAAATGAAAATGCATGTCAATCTTTTACCATTTAAACATTGAAATAAGAAAATATATCTCATTCTTCATAAGCCATGACTGACGGCTTTCAATCGATAATTTTCAACATGTCAATAATTTTGCATATTATCGAGTAATCAATCTTCCATAATTGCGATTGGAAAGAATATAGCGCTCAATACGATATAGCTTACTGTCGTATATTTTATTACTGGGTACTCTTTTTATCTAGGTGACAAACATTTTGTTTACAACTATACCGTTTTTTTTATTTTAGCAAAGAAAAATGAAGCAAAGCCGACATTACCTTGATGATTATCGTTTAATTAATTTTTTTCATTATTTTTTTATTGGGCTATGAAAATTTCTTATTCTTATTCGAGAAATTCTATTTGGTGATTTTAAAATTCAAAAATGATTGGCATCATTAATAAACGGATTTTTTCATCAACTTTTCTAAATTCAATCATTAAAAAAAATCGAAAAACAGACTGATATATCTATCTTGAAGAAAACTTAAATACCATCTCCTTGTACTCCACGTTTGCTTTTCAGCAATCGATTATTTTGTCGAGATTCAGATGAGAAATCAAATAATTTTACGAAATGCATATTTTAATTTGCCGACGCGTTTCATGTTATTTATTGAAATATTAAACACTCATCAGGGCTCTTCATTACATTCCATTTCCAGCACAATAAAAAACAAAAAATAACAAAAACGTTTCTTGAAAGATATAAAAATGGGCAAATAAAATAAAATCGATGTGCTAGTTTGAAAAATGATGCACAAGATTTCGACTGTTATTTAAATCAATTAGACTCTTATATGCGTTCCGATCTGTGATCATGTTCAGAATAAAATTGTTGCATGTTAACTTTTAAACAAGATTATAATTTCATGTACCGTTATTTCATTTTCATAAAAGAAATTTTATAAATATTGAGAATACATCCTATTCCGCAATGTTGAACATTCCGGAACCAGTTCCGCTCACAGAACCAATTCCATCTAATTCCCGAAATTCCGTTTATCACTTCCAACACAATTCCGGAATTCCCGGAATCACTGCCGATCAATTCCATCTAATTCCCAGCGATTCCGTATTGACATAATTCCGGAATTCCGGACCGGCATCGGATCATCACGAAATGGGTAAGACAAGCTAGAATAGTGATACAAGTTGTAATTCCGGAATTACTAGGAATTCTGTGTAATTCCTACACTGAGAAAAAAATCCGGGTAATGATCTACCCTTGCACTTAAAAACTTCGTCAATAAACCCTTCAAGGGTTTATTCCAATGTGATGAACCCTCTTAACGGTTATTAGTCGAAGGGTTTATGAAGCTATGGGTTTATGAAAACTCAAGGGGTATATGAAGGGTACATAAGGGTTTATTATTCTACTATTTTACCGTAAGAGTATATCCTCCAACGGATGATAGTAGATTGCTATTCGCTTTCAAGATAGGGGTATTTCATTACTCGTTTTCGGGTTTAGTATTCTACTTTTTCGTTAAGAGGGTACATCACCCTGCCTTTCTGGGTATAGTATGCTACCCTTCTCAGAAACGGTTCATTATTCTACGCCTAAAGGTAGATTCTGTTGCCATGTCCTGCGAAGGGTTTAGTATTCCACGTTCAACAGTTGATTCATCTACGTCTTAACAGAAAGGGTTTAGTATTGTACGTAAATGCTGTATTATATACCCCTCCATGTACAAGGGTTTTTTATTCTACCGACAGACATTGACTTACCTACCTTAGCATCTCCAGGGATAGTTCCATTGTCGTTTGAGGGTTGATTCTACTTCTTTTTTGTTGAAAGAAGTTTATTATTCATCGTACATGGGTTGATCTTTCTGCTCTTTCATTCAAAGCGTTTATCATTCTACATGCAGAGATTGATTGTTCTACTTTTTTTTATTGGAAAGGTTTATTACTCTACGCACATGGGTTGATTCATCAGCCTCTCTGGTCGAAGAGTTTATTGTTCTACGTATAAGAGTTGATCCTAGCTCTCTTTCGATTAAAAGGTTTATTACTCTACGTAAACCGTTGATTAGTCTACCTCTTCGTCAAAAATGGTTTATTTTCACCACTTCGTTCGAATGGTTTATTACTCTACGATAAGGAATAGACTATGTTATCTGTTCCTTAAAACTGATGTATTATTCTTAATTTAATGTTGATCATGTTTCGACTGGCCTTACAAAAGTTATTGACAAATATT